AGAATTGGCCGAACTGCTGCAGCATACGCTCGACCCTTCACATACAACCGGACGTCACGACGGTGAGATGTAGCTGCAGTCGGTGCGACGAAAATATAATGCTTTGTAATAGTTGCAGGTCAAGCTTCAGATCGCTGTCCTTGAGACGCTCGCGTCACGAGCATTAACCAAGCTGACCTATCTCCTTGTAGAAGAAGGAATAACGAAAGATAGTTATCGTTTCTGATTTATTAAAAAGGTCATGCCGTGTGGAACTAACTAGCAAAATCGAAAGACACGGCGGTAACAGGTTTTCGATCACTTGAATTTTCTGGATAAGTAAATATATATATATATATATATATATATATATAAAACCGGNTGAAAACGCCACATTAATAATAACAACAACAATAATAACGGGATGGGGTGGGGTTGGGATGATTGAACACTTTTTGAAATTGTGTTTGTTTGTCTTTTTTCTTATGGGGCACGGGATTTCGACAGGCAAACTGTACAGCATTCGCGCCACTGATTTCTATTCTGGGCCATATCTCTCAGCGTCTCTAACCAACGACAATCCTCATCCGTTGGGATCCAACCTGAAAGGCGGGCTGCATTAACCGAAGCCAAAGCTGAAGCAAACTTCCTCATACCTCTAAGCCATCTTATGGTCTGACTGCCGCGGTGCTTCTTCCAGCCTTGCCCGGCGGGTGAAAAGAGAGCACGGAAAGGTAGTCGATGAGTAGGCATACAGTACGTGACCAAGCCAACAGAGGCAGTGCACAGTGATTACTTCTGTTAGAGAGCGACTATTCGCACCCAACATACTACAACGGAACTCGTCATTGCTTCGGAGAGATCGGGGGTCGAATACAGAAAGTCGATTAGCATACTCAACGCGGAGAGGCCAGATCTCACAACCGTAAAGCAGAACGCTACGAACCGCGGCGGTGTACACCCTTCCCTTAAGGGACAGTCGGCTATCATGGCGGTACCACAGGTGTTGCAGGTTGGCGAAAGCTGCTCTAGCTTTCGCTATTCGTGATGTGATCTCCTCCCCAACACCAATACCAGCTGCGATCAAGCTCCCGAGGTATCTAAAGCTCTCAACTACTTCTAACTTATCACCACAGAGGGTGAGTGCAGGTACAGGCTCCTGCCCGTCTTGAATAAGCACTTTGCATTTGGACGGCGCAAAGCACATACCAAAGCTGGATACCTCGATTGCCAAGCGGTTTAAAGCGTTTTAGACTGCCTATGTGTTGTTACTCAGCCAGGCGATGTTATCGGCATATTCTCAGTCAAGGACTCTGTTCTCTGGGAGGAGTTTGACTCCACCGTTTGCTAGACCGGACAAAGCATTTGGTATAACATCCTATATGACAAAGTGGAAAAGAAATGGGGATATAGGGTAGCCTTGCCGAACTCCACTGGAGATGGTGAAGGGTGGCGAAAGCTGGCCATAGGCCCTAACCCGACCTGAGGTATGACGATACAACTCTATGAGGATCGACACATACTTCTCAGGTACTCCATTCCTCAAAAAACAGTTCCATTATGTGGTCCTATAGACAGAGTTGAAGGCTGCGCGAATGTCTAAGATAATAATAATAATAATTTTATGCAGGACCTGAATCAAACTGCACAGAAGATGACAGACAACAAATCTGAGAGGTGGTCATTTTATTCGACTAAGCATTTTCTTTAGATCATCGATCGCATCGACCAGCCGCTTACCTTCCGGTGTGCTTTCTTCAGACTGGGCCAAAGCCTCCATGCGAGCCTTTGCTATCGATTCCTCAAACTCTGCGTACGCATCAAACACCTGGGTGAAATCGCGTACAGTCATCACAGTTGCCAGAGCTTCAGCATACACGTCCCGTGCTCTGGGAAGATTACCACATCGGATGTGATAGTCTGCAAGAGAATTCCACAACAGTCCGACCTATGGCACAGATCAAACAAGAAAACATTTCGGACGTGCGGGTAGATTTATTCAAGCCACTCGCATACGTATAACAAAGCGAGAGAGAAGAAAAAACAGTTTTTAGTCAGTGATGAGCTGGCCAGCTCATTAGGCTTAACTGTATCGTCCTTTTCAAACCTTCCTTATTTATCCAGTTAAATTGTTTACTTTTTTATTACCGTGGATATTATTACTATTGTTATTGCCGTCATCATTGTACACTGAAATACCGGGAACTGAACTATGCTGGCTGCTGTCAAGCTCATAATGCAAGCAAATTAAGATAGCATATTTCATTTTATTTATTTCAACACGTAACCAATTACACAGAACTTGCCAATGTGCCACTAGATATGAACAAAAAGAAATTTGAAGAACGTATTCATAGATTATGTGGGCATGGCCGAGGAAGGAGGATAACCTCGGGGTCCCCACTCGAAGTCTTTGGCTAGAAAGCCAGTCCGACAGGACGGAACTCAGATTTCGCAATCCATTGGGGACCGGTGTCCAGTTGATTGCATCATTCACTCTTTGAATGGGATCAAACGTCCAAGGTGCGAAATACACCTTGATGCCCAATTGAGGAGGTGACCACTACCACAATCAGAAAGGTGTGCATGTGGTTCGAACGCCTCTACTTCGTTCGTTTGGAACCAGGGATTTTGGTCTACTCCCTTAGGTGAACTACCAGTGATCAACCAAACCGGTTATAGCCCCAGATGTCGACTTTTCGTCCTCTCACTTTGGTGGAAAAACACCTCCATCATGAGAAGACAGTGAGTAGGATTTCCTCAGCAGAGGCTATTTGAGACGCTTGGTCATATGGGAGCATTTCGCGAGGCATAAGGGAATGGTGACCAGTCATAATCCTAGGCATTCACCTCAACCACAATGAGGTTATCGGGGGTGGGTACGGACTGGGCCTGTTTTCTGGCAGCGGAATACAGTTAAGCGAACTTCGCTGACTGCAGACAAACACACAATGCACAAGCCTCGTCAATCACTGAATCTGGGGGCTTTCAACGTGAGGACTTTGATGCAACTAGGTCAACAAGCTTGTCTGGCTCGTACAATGGAATCCTTAGGAATCGATATTTGCTGCATGTCGGAAACTCGGATCCAGGACCCTACTACTCTAAGCCACTTGATCGCGCCAGATTTGTCGACGAGATACGTTCTTCGCACATCAGACGACGATGAAGCTCGTTCAGTCGGTCAGCGCGGGGTAGGTATTGTACTCAGTAATAGGGCGGAGTCCTCTCTCATCGATTGGATCCCCGTCAACAGTCGTTTATGTGCAGTGCGTCTCCAGGGTTCAATCAGCATCCGGAAGGGAAGCAACACTAAAAGGTGTTTGTTTATTGTATCAGCATACGCACCGACCAATTGCAGTTCTGATACCCAAAAGGACGCTTTCTACGATGAACTCATCGATCTCATTCGGATGAGTCGAAGCTCCGACATAGTTGTACTTGCAGGTGACTTCAACGCGCAAGTTGGAAAACTGAGCGCATCAGAAGCTTGCTTAGGCGGTAGTTGTGCTCTGCCCAGCCAACGAACAGATAACGGTGATCGATTTCTTCAGTTCTGCGCAGACCATCATCTGTTCCTATCAAGCACCAACTTCCAACACAGCTCTCGACGGACGGCAACGTGGCGCTCCAGTTCAACTGGTACGCTAACTCAACCCAGTATCACTCCATCCCATACTCTCAAAAGTAATGGAAAGTATAATCGACAATGAAATCAGAGGGTTCCTCAAAACAACCGATTTATTAAGGCCTGAGTAACATGGTTTTAGAAAGGATCGTTCTTGTTTAACAAACCTACTATCTGCCATCGATGACTGGACTAAAGCAGCCGATATGGGTCACCGCGTAGATGCAGTTTCCCTAGACCTATCTAAAGCTTCGACAAAGTGCCGCACTGTGATTTGATCAAAAAGTTAGCGGAATGTGGAATAATCAGTAACCTACTTAGATGGTTAAAGAATTATTTAACCGGTCAAAACTTTCAAGTGGCAGTCAACACAAAGCTCTCAACTCCCCACCCAGTGCTTAGCGGTGTTCCTCAGGGATCAATAATGGACCCTCTGTTATTCGTAATATACATCAACGACCTATATTTAACGTCAAAGGTTCTTTTATATGCTTATGACGTCAAGATTTGGAGTAGCATACAAAATGAGATAGACAGAGACCTCTTGCAAGGAGACCTAGACGCCATTGATAAATGGAGTACAATGAACGGTTTACTCTTGAACCACGCCAAATGCCACGTGATTCATCTGAGAAGAGTAGTCGCAAGAAGATACTTCCTCCAATCCAGGCCTCTAACAGTGGTAAAGCAAGTTAACGATCTCGGGTCAATCCTAACTCGGAAAAACAACTTCTCAAACAATTGTGTCCGAATGGAGAAAAGAGGAAGCTCCATTCGGTACCTCATCCCCGGATCCCTCGGCAAAATGGAACTTGAATGCTTTAGGCTAATGTACAGCATGTACTTACGATCGCACCTAGAATACAATATACAGGCTTGCCCTGCAGTACCGATGAGACATAAAAATCTTAGAAGCAGTCCAACGAAGGGCAACTAAAACAGTGATAGGTCTAGCCAACATAAACTAAGGGAGACTGCAACGGCTAAACCTGTTCAGTCTTTCTCACAAGCATCTACGCGGGGACCTGATACTAATGCACAAAATTGCAAGCCTCAATGTATACTTATGCACTGCGAGTTTGGCAGAGATCAATTACGTTCGCATCACTATATTTCGCTGTACAATGATGAACCAGGGGAATAGAAAACCCTGACAGCAATGTTAGATGGGCCTCTGGCTGGTCATTGCAGTATACTTGAGCTCTGACACAGCAACCATTGTAGTTTATAGTTTAGATGCACATACTCTATTCCATTTCCATCAGCTCGGCTCAGGCCTTGACTGAGTATAGTTGTTTCCTTCATTTCCGAAAACCCCCAACCTACCGTTAATGGTTCACTTTAATTAACTAGCTGTAGGTGAAACGAAAACGAAAACAAACTTCATAGGACCCCATCGGGACACCATAACTCTCCGATAACAAAAAAGAAACAGGTAAAACTATATGCCGTCTGTTAATTAGATACTGGGTATTCTGTTCTGTTCTTACAACCATTAACCATGCACACCCGTGCGCCGGTTTTGGACGCCATCTTTTGATTGCTCATTTAGATGAAACCTCAGAATGATGATGAGAATGTTGACAGTAAATTCAAGCGGGAGATAGCGGATTTATCCAGACGGAACTTACAAGAATAACGAATAGATGCATGCGCAAAAATGTTTGCGACACCCAGCCATATCACTCAGTATCTAATTATCGTTGACTAAGTTTCAGTTTTCAGTTTGAACAACCATTAACCACGCACTTTCGTGCGCCGGTTTCGGTTGCTGTCTTTTGGCTGCCCATTGGGATGAAGAATAGGAGAAGAAAGGAAAGTTGAAAGTGGAGTCGAAAAGAAAATGGAGAAGTTCAGTGGTCTAAGGTTGCAAAGAAATTGAGGAGATGCACGAACGCCACTGTTTACGACACCCTATCGTTAACTATTATCTCGGGGAGCTTAACGCGACCTATGTGACCCAGACTCCTCCTTAAGGTTTTCATCCCTCATGTCACGTCTTAGCGTGAACACCCTTCACCTTTTTCCAGCCGCTACCTGCCTCGGCAAATATCGCTCACCGTGGCCACTTATCTGGTGACATGATAAGCACACGCCCCAATCAACGTAATCTATGGAGGTCGATCACTTGTTCCAGTGGACGACCGCCAGTGCCTAAAACTCTACGCTTAACCTCAACATTGCTCGTCCGGTTATACTACCAGACTCGTGCAATGCGACGTACACAGCGGTGTTCGAACACCGACTATCTATTTTTATCCCGTTCCCGTAATGGCCAAGTCTCTGCACCATAAAACAGAACTGGCCGAACTGCTGCAGTATATTCGCGATCCTCCACAGACAACCGGATGTCGCGACGGCGCCATAAATGTCTCAAGTTGACAAATGCCAATCGAGCCTTTTGCCTGAGCGCCGACCCTTCATCTGTGATGTGTCCACCGGGTGAGATGTAGCTGCCCAGATAGCAAAACTTATCCACCTGCTCTATTACTTCCCCAATCAAAGCGAGGTTGGGTGCTGGACCAACTCAGTCTTGTAGTAGCATTTTACACTTTGAAGGTTGCAAGACGCATACCGAACATCGCTACACTAGCACTCAAACTATCCAGAAAAGCTTGCAACTTACCTGGATCTTCACTTAGTAGCACAATATCGTCTGCATACTCTAGATCGGACAGTCTGCCACCCGGGAGTAAATCGATGCCGCTATCCTCGCACGAGAATAAGGATGTTTTAGGAATCTAATCTATGACAAAGTTGAATAGAAAAGGAGAGAGAGGGTAAGCTTGTCGAACACCACTTTCTGTAGTGAAATCGGGTGAAAACGTGCCGTAAGCTCAGACTCGGCTTCGGTTATTATTGTAGATGGATTGGAATATTGGAATAAATCTCTCAGGCACACCCTTCAGCGAAAGGCAGTGCCAGAGTTTAGAGCGGTCGACTGAGTCGAAAGCTACCTTCAGGTCGAGAAAGATGGAAATGGTGGGTCTACGAAAAGAGTGTTTGTGTTCTAGGATTTAACGAAGAGTGAAGATATGGTCGATACAACCTCGACCGGGTCTAAAACAAGTCTGCTTCTCACGTGTGCACTCTTCACGTGCGGCAGACCGATTCACGCCATTCACTTGGAACCTGTTCCCGCTCCCACACTGAGCCCAAGAGTTTTGGTAACTCCGAAGCGAAGACTGAACCTCCATCCTCAAAAACCGATGGGGACAGTCCGTCGGGCCTGGAAGCCTTATTCTTGTTGAGATGGTTTACTTCTCGGGTAACCTCTATCTCAGATAGAGAACTGATATCAACTGGCAGTATTTGCACAGTTGAGGCGGATGTAGGGAGGTCTTGTGCTGACGGGGGCCAGCTGAACTGAGCTTTCAAATGTTTTGCCCATCGATCTAGACTGAAGTAGGATCTTGTATGCGTGTTTCGTAGACACAGCATACATCTAATTGGAAGGTTTCAAGGGTTCTATCTAAGGCAGCTTGTTGACCGATCTGATGGGGTGGGGGAAGATTGAATGCGGCTAAGAGGAAAGGAGATTTCAGTTCGAAAAATCTAATAGCCTTTGAGTGGTTGACCTCATAAGTCGAACACTGAGTGATATCCCATGAGTGGCGCAAACGGGATGCATCTCTTGGGGTTAGGGAATTAGAAAAGCAAGTGAACTGTTGAGAAAGATAGTTTTCCAAGTTGGTACCTTTGGGCACGGCATACTTTGCGATGTTCCACACCGACGGAGGGGTTTTTCTTTGGGAACTATAACCGGAGCATTTGACTTATATATATATATATCTATAAAT